TATCCCAGCTGGACCCAGGACAGGAGCTCTTCACATCTGGAAGGGTTTGGATCTGGGGCCAAAGGTTTGCTGTGGATGGGGCCTGTTAATTTTATACTTGCTTTTGCAGGCAAAGCAGTAGTAGTTAAAACAGTTCCTGTCCCCAAAACAAAAGTTGTGACTACCAAGAAGACTGAATCCAGTTCTGACAGTGACTCAGGTAATTCAAGAAATAAAGTTTTGATTTTTTGTTAATGTTCTTACTGGCCAAGTCGCTATATAGTGGTGTATCTGTCAGGATCCTTAGCCTATAATCTTGAAAGCTTCGCAGTCTCTATAGCTAACAAGCTGTGAAATTGAAAAACAGCAGCCTTCTATGCAGAGTGGAGCCTGACTGTGAGACACCAGTGAGACCATTGGCAAGTGCAGAAAGGTCTGCATGTTGCCTGATGGAATGAGTGGGGCATCGTGTATCAGGTTTTTCCAGGAAGGTTAACGGTTACACTTTTTGAGGATGTATGTCTTAAGATTTTTGTTTCAGTTACCCTGTTATGGGCTTTGGGAGAAATTTCCAAAATAGAAAAATTATCACCATAGCAAGTTAAAAATAGACTCAAAAAATGCCTTCTCCTAATGTGACCCTAGAAATAGGGGGCAGTGTGATTTGAATCTTCTATTGATCAGGTTTAAGGCTTGCAATGCTGTATTTCCCACATAACTTCCCTGTGTGCTACATTTCCTGTCCCATGTTCAAGGTGCTCCTGTTATATATCTCAATATCTCTGGTCCACAGCAGGGACTATGGGTGGCAGCTGCTTGTCTGTCTGCAGACAGCTAGCACTAGCCTGTGTGACCCTTCAACAAGTGTCAGGAGTTCAGTGTCTTCTCGTTTTGTTGCCTAGTTTCTCACGAATGGATGAGGTTTTGGTTACTGTTACTGAAGTGTTCAGAAATGTTGGAATAGATCAGGCTTAGCATTCCAGATTGCAGTGACAGACAGTACTGTCATGGTTTAACCCCAGCTGCCAACTACAAGCACCAGACAGCCACTCACTCCTTTTGGTGAGATGGGAGAGAGTATCAGAAGGGTAAAAGCAAGAAAACTCATGGGTTGAGATAAAGACAGTTTAATAGGGAAAGTAAAAGCCATGCATGCAAGCAAAGCAAAACAAGGAATTCATTCACTACTTCCCGTTGGCAGGAGGGTGTTCATCCATCCCCAGGAAAGCAGGGTTCCATCACATGTAATGGCTACTTGGAAAGACAAAATGCCATCACTACAAATATCCCCCCTCTTCCTTCTTCTTCCCCAGCTTTATATGCTGAGCATGACATCATATGGTGTGGAATATCCCCCTTGGATCAGTTGGGGTCAGCTGTCCCAGCTGTGTCCCCTCCCAGCTTGCACCCCCAGCCTACTTGCTGGTGGGGTGCTGTGAGAAGCAGAAGAGGCCTTGACTCTGTGTAGGCACTGCTCAGCAGTAACAAAAATATCTGGGTACTGTTTCCAGCACAAATCCAAAACAGCCCATATTAGCTACTGTGAAGAAAATTAACTCTATCCCAGACAAAGCCAGCACAAATATAAAGGTGTATTTGTACACAGGAGTCTCCAGTCCGTCCTCAGACTGCTGCTGAACACATCTGGTACAGGAAGAAGAAAGCTAAAATGAGATACTGTCCTGCTGCCACTTCAGTTTCCCTGCTTTGTTAACTTTTATATCCTAACTTCTTGCCTGTTCTTTGATCTTTACCACATAACTTCATTTCTCAAGGTTCTTCTCCCTGAGTTTGTTCTTGGTGATACCTGTATTCTCTTTCTCCAGTCCCTTATTCCATACTTCTACATTATTCTCCAGATATCTGCTTCCTTGTGCATGTGTTAGGGAAAAACTTAAACTGCTTGTTTCCACTTACTCCCAACAAAGATCTGTGGAAAGATGAATGCTGTCCCCTGACTATTCTCAAGTGTTCATCAAGTGCTGCTTATCTAGTGGCTCAGCCTTGGGCCACAACCCATTTTGCTTTTCACTTCCCCATGAGTTATATAGATGTTGTTATTAAAGTAATTTGCACAAGAAGCTTATTAACATGCTTTTTTTGGTTTAGATTCTAGCTCTGAAGATGATAAGAAGGTAGGGAGTAAGCTCCCAGCTAAACAACCTGTGATGAAGAATGCTTCCAAACCAGCAAAAGCAGCTGTCAAGCCTGGACAAGCAAAGAAAGACTCCACTTCCTCCTCAGACAGCTCAGGTATTGGGATAGGAGAAAACGAGAATTTCCACATGCATGTTGTGTTTGCCTGGACCTCTTTGTTTCTAGGGCGGGTACGAGGGTGCAGTTGGACATCAATACCCATTGCAGTGTTGTGTGAAGCAGCTGATGAAGTGCATTGTGTATCAACATTGAATCTGCTTGTTAGCTTCATGTTGAAGGAATGGGGCTTAGCCTTGATTATTCTTTTCCTTTCCGTTCTAGATTCTGATAGCTCTGACAAGAAGGCCCCTGTGAAGCCCACAACTAAAGCAGCAACCCCCGCAACAAAGAAGTCACAAGCTGCCACAAAGAAAGCACAAAGTAGCTCTGATTCAGATAGCAGCTCCAGCAGCTCTGAGGATGAGAAGAAGAAGGTCACTCCAGCTAAATTAGCTGGCAAAGTGTGTAAGCCATCGTCCAAACCTTCTACCCCAGCTCCCAAAGAAAGCACTTCTGACTCTGATAGCTCAAGCAGTGAAGAAGAAAAGAAGCCAGCAGTGAAACCAGCCGGTAAATCTACAGGGGCAGCAAAAGCAACTGTGGGGAAGAAGGTGGCTGCTTCTAGCAGTAGCAGCAGCTCATCCGATAGTTCCAGCGAAGAGGATGAGAAGCCTAAAAAGGCAGGGAGAGGGGCACAGAACGGTTCTAAGACCACTGCCTCCACAGAGAAAGCAAAAGCATCCAAACCAGCAGCAAACAACGTGAAGTCTAAGCCAGCTGCTGGCAGCAGTAGCAGCAGTGAAGGCAGCTCTGAAGAGGAGACTGGAAAAGTCAATGGAGGTATTAGCTGCAGTCTGGGAAGTGGGTCTATCGGGCAGTGTTACTGAGCTAAGCGTGAGTGGGAGCCTTTCCTAAACAATATTCAGTCTAATCTCTGTACTATTAGGTTATGCCATCTGGTGCAGTACAGAGAGGGAAGAGCTAGTTTTTTATTTGGTGTGATCCTTTTTGTCTGTATTGCATATCTGCTGGCAATGGAATTTGTGGTAGCACGAAGCACATTTTTGTACAGTTGCCAGTTGCCATCTGTGCACACGCAACGTTGTTAATGACAGCAAGGCAGTCTGCTGGAGGACCTTGTCTGTGTTGAGTGGGACATAATAGGTAATGACCCAGTGTACAATCCCAATCTTTATCCCTCCAGGAGGGAAACAGCTTTGAATGCAGTGGTGGTAGGTGCGAGTGCATACTGAGCAACTCTAAGCACTGGCAAATTTTAACCAACAGAACTTTCTCAGGTGCACTAAATCATTAATATAGAGGTAGCCTATTCCACAAAATTATCCATTAGGATTGGATGGTAAGATCCTTGCTGACCCAGAATGGCTATTAGTGTCTGTTATTGCAGTCTGTTTTCTGGATGAGGTAATGCAGGGACTTAGTCTCACATCTGTGTCAACACTGGGTTTGCATTCTAAGAGAGAGATGCCATTACTTTTCCTAACACTGCAGTTACTCCCTTTGAAGTTTTACTGCTGTGCATCTAACAGGCACTATCGGGAAGAAACAGAAGAGGGAAGATGTTCAGGAGACAGAGACACCGCAGAGTAAAAAGGCAAAGGTCAAAGCCAAAACACCACACACAGTTCCCAAGGTGAAACAGGTGAGTGAGGGTGGACTGTGGTGACTGGTGGGTGAGGCGTCTCTGCCTCCTGAACAAGAAGACTTGTTTTGAGTTTTTGGGGGAGGTTGGACACAGGATTGTTTATATTTTTGCTGCTTCCTCAAGCACTTGAACCTTCTCTGGAGAACCCTAGGGAATGCACATATGTGCATAATATTCTGGCAAAGGTTAATTGGATGTGCTTGCGCAGGAGTATCCCTGAGCTGCCTGATCTGAAGGGAAAGAATTATGAATCTGAGAAATGCTTAAAGATTGAGGTGATGTGAACAGGGCTCCATATTTGCAGGGCAAGGAGGGAAGAAGGTTGTCACTAAGGGAATATCATGCGCATGTATGCGCTTACTGTATGACTCATTTTCTTTCTGTTTAACAGCCAGGCTCTCCATTCCGCCGAGTAAGGGAAGAAGAGATTGAGCTGGACGCTCGTGTTGCTGATAACTCATTTGAAGCAAAGGTAGGGCTGGGTAGTGCCCAGAGTGGTGACACCTGGCTGCTGTACATACATGTCGGCAGACGTGCTCGTGGGCAGACTTTTTGGTGGGAACTTTTCCCACCAGGAGGCGCCGTTGGGAAGCGTGTGAGCACCAGCAGGAGGGTGTGGGGCAGTGGTGTCAGCTCCGTGTCAGTGTACTGGTGTCTGCGGGGTAGGATGAAGTGCAAAGCATTGCCTTTACTCTCTTGGGTACTGACCTGAATTTCTTTGTCCTCTCTCACTTCATCCCTTACAGAAAGGAGCAGCTGGTGACTGGGGTGAAAAGGCTAACAATATCCTGAAATTCACTAAAGGCAAATCTTTCCGCCATGAGAAGACTAAGAAAAAACGAGGCAGCTACCGTGGGGGCACTATATCAACCCAAGTCAATTCTGTCAAGTTTGAAAGTGACTGAGAATGTTTCCTTCATAAACCATCTGCTCACCAGAGTGGCTTGGATGGGCATGTGGACATCATGGACACCAAGCCCGCCTGGAGTGGTACCTCCCCTAACCCATTGTGGGGCAGGCAGCTCCAGCATGGGGATAGGGGAGAATGATTGGATGTTCCCCCCTTATATTTCTAATTCTGGTTTAGGCCTCTAGTTTGGAACCATCCTTGAGCTGGTGTTATTGCACCACTGGGGTGACCTCCAAGACTTAAATTTTCTACAGTCTTATTTTAAAAGGCTGTCAGTGATGTTAAATTTTGGTTTCCTGCCTATCTAGTAGAAGAAAGAGAAATAATTTTCCTGTAACTTAACCTCCAGTTCTCAGTTGCAGTGTGACAGGTTTCCTCTTTTCTGTTCCTTTTATGATTTCACCTTGCAATAAATTCCTACTTTCCTCTTCCTTCCGGTCCTGTTGCGGCCGCTGACCAGAGTACTTAGAGAAGCAAAGTCTAAATACACCTTAGTAGTTGAGTAACTGTATTGCTTGCAGTTGCAAGTTGGGGCTATTGTCAGAAAGACCAAGGTCTGTAGTACTGCTGTGGCGATAATGCTTTCATTGGGAACATAGGTGAGGAGTGGGGATGCGCAGAAACTCCTGACTGCATGGAGGTTGTGATGTTTGGCTCAGTGCAAATGGGTATAAGGAGGCAGAGGAGATAAAGCCCTCTTTTCTACCCAGCTCTACTTTTGCTGTGTTTTTGTTCAGAGGCTCTTGACTGCAGTGTGGCATTACTCCTTGTTCTCTCTGAACATAAAATGTGCCAGCTTACGCTTACTCCCAGCAATGTGCCATGCAGCTTGTTAGGAGTTGAGGTGAATGTATCATTTGATGCCTTAAATTTCTTTCCTGGGTTGGACCACTTGTTCTTTGAGCTGTTCTCCACCTGTTAAATCTCTCAAGAAGTAAAATATCAGTTTCCCCATAGCACTAAGGCAAATAAAGCCTGGTGCTGTAAGGTTTGAAGTGTGAGCTATAAGTAATGGGGAGCCTCAAACAGGTTCAGTAAATGGCAGCCTAAACTAAGATTTCATGAGCAACTGAGGCAATATAATGGCTTACTGCTGTTGAGAGGAGGGCTTGCTTTCCGTCCAGCTGTGTGACTGCCTCCTTATTTCTGGTGCAACTCACATCTAGTAGAAAATGGTTCCCCCGACTACTTTTTTTCCCCCCTGTTAGGTAGGTTAAGTTAATTTTAGTTTGTGGAGCAGTCTGCTGAGTCCAGAGCCAGTACAAATTGAACAGCGGTAGTGCACGTTTGGGAAATGTGGTAGTGGGCTGTGAGAACTGCTCACCCCATCTCATGAAACTGCCAGCCACCGAGAGAGGTTATGCAGGGCCTGATTTCCTTGTTGCCATTCCCTCCCCAAAGGGTGACAATGGGAAGAGCCCTGTTATGGGAAGCTACCTTTGTGTGCAAAGCACTGTCACCTAATTGAGGGTTGGATGAGACTTGAGTCACCCCATGTAAGTGAGCTGCAGCTTGCTCCAATGAGCATTTTTCAGGACTTCCCCTCTGGCTTGCCCAATCACCCTGGTGCCTGGATTCTAGGCTGCGGTGCTGAGGGGCCCGGGAGACCACAGTTATTACAAGGAATTAAAGGTTAGAGGCCAAAGGAAGGTGGGAAGAGAGTATTTTCTGCCTGGGGATTTGAACATCATCTTTCTTGTGACTTGTCATTTGCTCTCTTTTTTTCTGCTTTATCAGGAACTTACATTTGGAACTCAAACTTTTTAAAACCTTTTATGTTTGGGGGATATTTCAACTGTGAGCACACAAATGTCTCGGAAAATAAAGATTGCTGCCTTTGTAGTCTGAGTGGATCTGATAGTTAAAGGTGTGGAAAAGGGAGGGGGTCAGTGCTTGGGGTGATGTGGCATGCGTAAGTGTACATCTACAACGAGTTCTTGTCTCCTTAGTCATGTGCTCATGTGCCTGTAACAGGGCTTCAGAAATGAAAGGTGGCCTGTGCAGCTGGCTGCCAAGTGACTGCAAGAAATGAATGAAAGAATGTTTACTTACACCGAGGCAAGCTGTGGCAGCTTGAGTCCCTTCGCACCGTGTTAGCGGTTAGTGCTGGAACTAGACTAGCAGGACTTCCCCCTCTGGCGTGTGCTGTACCCGTGTGGGTGCCCTGGGGACACTGTCGCCGGCGTCCTAGTTCCCCTGTGCGGCCCCCACCCCGTTTTGCTGTCCTGGATCATGCATGTGCAGCCCCCTGTCCCTCTCCCCTCAGCGCCCCACAGAAGGGGTACCGGCCCCGTGAAGGTCCGAGTAGGGTCCAGCACTGGTCGCTGGAGGGGCGCTGTGACACCCTTCGGGCACGCTGGCCCGG